AAAACCAGCATAATAAGGGGAAACCAATGACAAAATCAACAATCCACCTGAAATGCACTAACTTAATGGCTAACATGGTTGCATAAACATTACAATCTAAACAACTATTTTACATCACGATAAACCAATGACGCCCAAGTGAACATCACAGTCACGAGCACTTGCCATCTTCTCGAGTTAAGCCTGTATAGTATAATGACATAGATTGCCCTACATTTAAAAAAAAAAGAAGCTCTTTACTAAAGGAATAATGATCAAATGAATTTTGAACGCATAAATAAGAGAAAAGTTTACACCTTGTAAATTATACATAAAGTTCGTCGACGACGGATGAATCAACTATCCGAACGATAAATGTTGTAAGATGGAAAATAGTGTTGGGATGGAATATTGTGGAAGGGAAAATGGCATTGGTGTCAACATGGAATGTTGTTGTTGTTGAGGTGGTTGAACGTTGATTCCTCCATCAACCATATTACTGAGGTTTGCTGTCGGTCTCGTACTAGCGTTTGACGTCGAACCAGATTGCATTACACCAAAGGTAATTGTAAAATTTATTTTTGAACATATACAAATCTTAAAATACTCTATCCAACGTACCTTCGCTTTCTTTGATGCAGTCTCCAACTGGCTTTTTCACCTAAGTTTCCTTGAGGCTCCCTTTCTTCGCGTATGTTTTGGATCAAGTACGCTTACACTCGAAGTATTTGCTAAATCATTATCTACATTGATGACTTGCGTAGTATGTTGTGAAACGCAATTACTTCATGTACTCGATTTCGTGGTCGTAAGCTCTTTACATTGACATTTTATTCACTCCATTATCGTGCGTGAACGACTTTCGTCATCTGTAGAAAGGTTTGCCCTCTCTGCGAAATCAGCAGACATCTCTTCGTATCTTAATTGTGCCGGAGTACTGACTAACCCATCGTAATTTACTGCAACCCTCATGTGGGCTCGGTGAACATCTTGTATCCACCGCCGCATAATGTACCTATTCAGCACATGTGTGACATCATTTCGAACCTATACGGTGATCGCATGTCTGCAAAGTATTCCACGATACTCAAACAAGTGACAGGTGCAAACAATTTCACATTTGTCTCTCATGAACGACACGATAAATGTCTTTCTCCTCCAACAACCCTCGTACATAATAATCTTACGTACTTCATATGTCATATCAAAACATCGATCCAAAGTAGACATCACGTCGCAATACACCTTTCCTGTTAACTCATCTTGAAATTTATGAAATTTTGAAATGGTGTAAACCGATTGAAACTGTTGCTCCATTTCAAATTGTATTGCACATGGTGGCATTTGCGAGAATGATTTGAAATCTGTCTGAAATTCCTTCTCAACCTTACTTCTCAGGGCACGTTCATACTGTTCAACAAATTGTTTCAATGAGGTTTTCGAATGCACGTACCCATCGAAGAACGCATTCATCATAGCCCAGAAAGTGGTTTTCAAAAAGCAAGGAACCCAACGTTCCCTACTCTCGTACAATCCTGATAGCTAATCGTTGTCATGCAACCCATACGTATGAATCACCGTTCTCCACCCGTCTTCAAATTCTTCAGTGTACTGCGAATCATATACTAATCTGCGTATAGCCTTAAATATAAAACCCTTGTCCTCATGGTAGCTAAACTTCTCCGGCAACTTCTTCAAATTGTAACATAAACACCACCTATGCTTTGTATTTGGAAAAACAATCTGAATGACGTTTTGCATTGCCCTATCTTGATCGGTAATAATACCATGTGGAGCTTGATCATACACGCATTGAAGTCATGTCTTGAACAACCATACAAATATATCTGTGTCTTCGTTTGACACCAAATCACAACCAAGAAGTGTCAATTGTCCGTGATGATTTATGCCTACAAAAGGGGCAAATGACATGTCGTATTTATTAGTGGGGTAAGTGGTATCAAATGAAACAACATCCCTAAACTCCTTGTATGCTTGCCTAGACAGATTATCTGCCAAAAATACATTTCGTAGCCACGACTCATTGTCCAAATCAATACTAAAGTAAAATCCCGAGCATTGTGCTTGCATTTTAAAAAAAATAGGATTGAATTGCTGTCGCATCTCCTTCTCCAAGTCGTAATCTCCTCACTCGTTTTATATAGTTCCGGCAATCCTTTTCAATACAAGTCATGTTCTCATATCCACATTCTTTTACATCTGCAGAGTTGTAACTTTTATGCAACGAAATTCCTACCAAGTCATTCACCTGAAGCTTCTGTTTCATAGCTGCACTTAATTGTCTGTTGCATCGATATAACCTAGATTTAGAAGGACTTGTTTCATGATTGTGATCGAGGTTTACCGTCTAAATTCTCCAATTTCCAAAACTATCAGAAGATGCAGATACTCTTGCTTTACAACCCATCTTAACAATTGGTTGCGGTTTCAAAGAATCACTAATATTCCTGATTCTTTCGCCTTCACAGCTACATGTCAACGTCACATATCTCAAAACTCCATTGTCGCCCTTTTTTGAATTCCTTTTTTTAACTGGAAAACTCACTGTGTAAGCATATTTCATGTAAAAATCATACATATATTTCTCATTTTTGAACAATATTCCCAGAGCACAATTACACCAACTCCCCTAGATGTTTCACCTTCAACTACATTGACGGACTCTGTAACGTTCCCATCCTCAGATTGCACCAAAGCATCGTCATGCATGTCCTGCACGTCGTCCATACTTTGTTCTGCTATGACAAAAAAGTCATGGTCATTTTTATTTCTTCAACAAATAAAACAATTATAATTTCAGTTGGTATAGTTAACAACAAATAAATATGTAATAAATTTGCAAATGTGACATGTCAAATATGATCACCGTGTACCAATTTTCAGCTTTTAGGATAAAAAGATAAGCTACACTTGTTTCTTTGTTAAAATCATAGAAATTGTTTATTGAACATGAAACGTTGACAAAAAGTTGATGTCATCCTTTAAAATTATAATAGACGTGCTCACAATAAAGCAAAAGTAAGAACTCGAAAGCTCAATAGAAGCATAACATAAATTAGACATAACCATCTTGAAAAATTAGTCATAGAAGCCTTCATTCCTTGATCTTTCAACCCATGGCTTACCAAACTGGGAAAATTATAATAACTTGATAGAGAAAATTAGCCAAAGAGCCTATTCAGGGAGTTGGAGATCTAGAAATCAACAAAGAGACTCGTTAAAAACACTTCAAATTTGATGAGAACAAAACTCAGTTTGTTGCTTCTCTAGAGAAAAATAGTTCTTATACTCAACACATTCTATTTTAACCGTATAATTTCATTCACACACTCCTATACTTCTAACCGAACAAAATCATTGTCATCTCCCTAGTATGTTTGAACAATATTCAAATTTATACTATTTCACCTCCATCGTTTATTTGTATCGTTCGTTTATAGTTACTGTTTGGGAGTTTGATTTCTATGAGTGAAATGGTGTTGGGAAAAAAATTGGAGACGTGCGGGTCGAACAGATCTCCGGGTCGTCCCAAATCTCTCCGGAGTTTAGCTTCGAACAGAGCTGCGGGTCGTCCCAAACCTAAACAAAAGTCAAAATCCCTCCAAAGTTCAGCCGCGATGAGCAGGAGATGAAATGTGTGTGATTGAAATTTTAGGAGTTAGTCTACAAGTACAGAAATTTTTTACAAAATTGGTACAGAAATTTGAAATCAACAACACAAATTCAAAGTTGGAAACAAAACGCGCACACACATGCACAGGATGCTGCCACAGCATCCTGTACAAAATCTGTAAATATTCCCTGAGTACAGGGAATATTTGAAATTTTAGTGGGAGTTATATCTGAGTAGGAGAGGAAATGGGTGCGATTGGAATTTGGGTTTCCTCCAAGTCCAAAAAGGTTAATTTGGGTTTCCCTCCAACTGATTGACAATAACATGTCATTAATTTTAAATCCTTGTTTTTAACTCTGTTTACTATCCTCTGTGTATTAGCATTTTTCTAGAAATTATCCATTTTGATTCCAGGTGTTAATTTTTGAAAGGTTTGGTACTGTAAATGGCACAAATGAAAGGTTTGTGCAAAGTTTGCTACTAAACGAAAGGTTTAGTACAACTGCTGCAATTCTCTTTTAACATGTTCAACCTTATTAAAAGGAATAATTCAAAATCTTATAAATTAATTTGTATTTTTATCTTTATTTGATGTGGAATTTTATCATTTAGCAAGTTTTATGAATAGTAATTATGAAATATGGTGTCCGATTTATTCATTTTAAATGTTACAAACCAACAACCAAATTTTGAAGACAGTTTCTCTCTTGAATCACATTAGATGTAACCAAATTAGAGATTTCCGTAGATTGTCCAAACAGCTTGGATCCATATCCGTTAATTTTTGGCCTCATTATTTAAAATTCTAATGGTTGAAATAATATTTTTTAAAAAAAATATGAAGTTAGAAAAGTAGAAAAAAAATTTAGAACTACATTTAATATTATATTATTAAAGAACGTGATTGATAAAGGGCAAAAAAGGGATATAATTTATAGAGGTTCGCTTACAATGTTTAAGTACTTGTCAAAATAAGCAACTTTTAGGCTATGTTTGATAGCTCACTTTAATGAACAATTTCCTTATAAAATAAAGTCAAACGATCCAAACATGAACAAGAAGATCCAAAATTTTAAAATTCAGATGAAAAATTATACCAATCAAATACACTTAATTAATAATTCCCTAAAAAATAAATTTTAGACAATTATTTTTTCTGAAATTCAATTTCTTTCCACCAATTTTCAACTTGCAATCAAACGAATCCTTATCTGATCCACAGAAAGAACAAAAGCAAAGTCATCCAATCAACATACGAACAGGTCAGTCAGTCCAAGCCATATACATCTATCTTTCCGCACGCATACATTCACATATATTTATTTTTTTAATTTTTTCTGAAATAAGAATATTGGACAGATCGAAGTGTCTGTGTTGATTTGTTTTGATGGCTTCGAAACGGATCTTGAAGGAGCTCAAGGATCTACAGAAAGATCCACCCACCTCTTGCAGCGCTGGTAATTTGTTGGACCCATTTATTTGTTTGTTATTTTTCACCATTATTTGTGTGTAATTTTGGTTTCATATATGGTTTTTGATGTTACAAGGTTTGATCTGTTGTATTAGGTTGTGTAAATAAATTCAGGAGAATGGAACATTATAGAAACTTGATCTGCAATTGTTTGTTCTGTTTGACTTTGTGTATCACGCAAAAAATGTAATTTTAATTGTAAAAAGGGTACATGGAAGGTGCAAAACATGTTTTTTAATATGGTTTTGTGCATATTAGTGCTCGAGCTACAGATCTGGTTTAGCTTAAATTATTTCGTGCTTTTCTTACTATGGATTACATAATCTGCTCCCCCAATGCATTTGGGATGAATTTTTTCAAAAATCAGTTAGCAATTTTTCTGATTATTTAGGCTAGAGATTCAAAGGCCCTCTTTTTGATTATGGGTTGTTGGGCATAGAATTTCCTATAATTCAGATCCATGCCTGGAAGTAAGTTGACATGTTAATCATTTATCAGCCAGCTCGAGCAAATATTCATAGGAACCAAATCGTCACTAATGCACTTGCTACAGCTTATTCAAAATCTAACTTTAATAGCTGTGCCAAGCTGTCTCATCTGATTATTTTGATAATTAATTATATCATCAATTATCATTTAATCTTAAGGTGCATCTAGTGAGTCCTATATAGGAAACTTCGGAATCTTGAGAGCTTGTTGCCTGAGTTGGAGGGTCTATTCCTTGTCATTCATATAATTTCTAACGAAAAGTTTCACAAGAATATATATTTAGTTTTTCTCTTATGCTGTCAAATCTTGCTTGATGATGTTGACCTGTGAAGAGCTTTTGCTTAAAACTTCTTGACATTGGTGATAAATGAAATGAACTGCCTGAGTATATGTTGGTTTTGGTATATTTCTCCCACTTCTATGTTGTTTGCTTTGACTACCAACTATTGATATCTTTAGCTTGCATTCCATTCGGCGTTGACAGGACCCGTTGGTGAGGACATGTTTCACTGGCAAGCAACAATAATGGGTCCTCAAGATAGTCCGTACGCAGGGGGAGTATTTCTAGTCACTATTCATTTTCCTCCTGATTATCCGTTCAAACCTCCCAAGGTATATGGATTTGTTTTGCAATTGTTATGTTGGGAAAAATGAATATCTCCTATGCGCCTTCTTAATTTCACTTCTGTTTTCGTAGATGGCATTATTATTGCACTTCCCATTTTGGTGAAAGTTTGTTGGAGTGCTGTACTAATTAACCGATTTGCTTTGAAATAGATATTCCAGCGTGTCAAAGTCAATTATGTGGAGAGATGATCTGTTTAAGTTCTTGTGCATAAATTGTTTGGTTCTGACTTTCTGCTCTATTAGTAATGCTTTTCTTTTATTTTTATACAACCATTTGCTAGATAAATGTAAACTGTAAAGTGTACATATTCCCCATTCAATTTGTTGTTGCAATTGGTAGGGTCCAAGCCCCATTATTTAATAAAATATGTTTTATAATCGTATTTTTTGGAGAATGTGTGATTAAAAAATAGGAAAAAGTTTTGGGTTTACGTGTAATATTATTTTATTGGGAGAATGTGTAGTTGGAAATGAGTTTGAGAAAAAAATGAGTTTTTAATTTTTATAAAATGGGGCTCAAATGGCGCTTAATATTTCACTTATTATCTTTTCCTCAATTGGGACATGAGACAAACATATTTCTTAATATTATTTTTGGTTGGATCTCTGCAGGTCGCATTCAGGACAAAAGTTTTTCACCCAAATATAAACAGCAATGGTAGTATATGTCTTGACATCCTAAAGGAGCAATGGAGCCCTGCCCTGACAATTTCCAAGGTTTTTTTTTTTTTTAAATAACCTCCTTGTCATTTATAACATAGTAAGACAATTATTTGAGACTTGACAAGTCACACTCAAGTTTCCATCTTCTTTGTCCACGTGAGTTCTTCTACGAAAATTTAGGATGCTGTGTACTCAATATTTTAGGGATGCATATAGCCATAAACCTCTCGATGTTGAATTTTTTGTTGTATTGTTTGTTTGGTGGTTACTGCCAATTCAGGCAGAGTTCTTTTTGAACGCTGTTCCCCTTGTTTTTCCTTTTTGCACTATTTCAAGTGCATGTTTGGCTAGCCTTAAAAAAACTTATAAGCAAATAGTTGTAGAATAACTAATGTTTCATGTTGGTCTATTTTGTAATATAAGTTGCTTTGCTTAATGTAACTTCAATATTTGCGTCAAAATGAGTGACTTCTTTTACTTGTAAGAAAACTATCCTGACAAGTTGGGAAACAAAAAGTTGCTTAAAAACAAGTTAAATAACTTTTAAGGTTATCCAAACATGCTGGAAGTTGCATTCCAAGTGTTAGTGGCTGCTGCATGATTTCCCGCATAAATACAGTCCTAGGATGTGATATGAATGGTGTCGTCCGAAGATATCTTTAATACCTTTTTAATCCCTTGCGAAATCAGATATTTCTCTTCTTAAATTGTGCACATTATTAATTATTGCTTATCATTTTTCTAAGGTTGAAAGTGTTAAGGTGCAATATATCATTCTAACAGTATGATGCAAAGTGTAAACCCCCATGAGGCTATCCTTAATAAAGAAACCTGAATCTATCAGTATCTAAGAGGATGATTCTGGTATACATTTGCAGGTGTTGCTCTCGATTTGTTCACTTTTAACGGATCCAAACCCTGACGATCCCTTGGTGCCGGAGATTGCCCACATGTACAAGACTGACAAGGCCAAGTACGAGCAAACTGCGAGGAGCTGGACTCAGAAATATGCAATGGGTTAGTGTGATTTTCCTCGAGGGCAGCTCGTATTATGTCTTAAATGATGTCTCATCTTGTAATGGACAAGTGTAGTATATACCTTTGAATTGTTGCCCTATTGGAAGACAGATTATGCTTTGAATTGTTCATATGGAAACACTATTTGGGAAAAGACTATATGTTTGTTGTTTTGTTTAAGGTGTAATTTTGAGCAATGCTCTTAACTTAAATTGATTTCTATATTACTGTGAAACCGAGCAACGAAGCTTGCCTTTACAGAGCCGTGCACTTGTTTTAATTGGGACGAGCTTTTGATATGGACAATAGTCGAAGTTTTTCCTCAAGTTCGCTTTCTCCAATCTTATGGAATGCGTTAAATTTTATCGTTATCTACATGTAAGTATGCAAATGTAATCAATATACTGATATAAGTTATGCGGGGAAATTTCGGAGGAAATACAAGGAAATAATCTTTTCATTCTTGTCTAATTTCAAAATGATCTTTGACTAAGAAATAGAATAAAAAAATAAAAAAAAAGGTGAAAATATTACTTTAGTTGGAAAAAGTCAAAAATACCCTAATTTTATCAAAAGGAAGGCTGTCACTCAGGGATCTGGGCCGGTTGTCTTTTGGGCCACAGTCGGCCCAGATCACTAAATTTCTGGGCCTGCTGTTAAGTCGGCCCATATATATATTTTTTGATTTTTTAATAATTTAATATAATAAATAAATATTTATATAACTAAATATTTTACTTAATTTAACAAAAGTAATATAATTAAATATTTTATTCCGAAGATATCTTTAATACCTTTTTAATCCCTTGCGAAATCAGATATTTCTCTTCTTAAATTGTGCACATTATTAATTATTGCTTATCATTTTTCTAAGGTTGAAAGTGTTAAGGTGCAATATATCATTCTAACAGTATGATGCAAAGTGTAAACCCCCATGAGGCTATCCTTAATAAAGAAACCTGAATCTATCAGTATCTAAGAGGATGATTCTGGTATACATTTGCAGGTGTTGCTCTCGATTTGTTCACTTTTAACGGATCCAAACCCTGACGATCCCTTGGTGCCGGAGATTGCCCACATGTACAAGACTGACAAGGCCAAGTACGAGCAAACTGCAAGGAGCTGGACTCAGAAATATGCAATGGGTTAGTGTGATTTTCCTCGAGGGCGGCTCGTATTATGTCGAAAATGATGTCTCATCTTGTAATGGACAAGTGTAGTATATAACTTTGAATTGTTGCCCTATTGGAAGACAAAGATTATGCTTTGAATTGTTCATATGGAAACACTATTTGGGAAAAGACTGTATATGTTTGTTTGTCTTGTTTAAGGTGTAATTTTGAGCAATGCTCTTAACTTAAATTGATTTGTATGTTACTGTGAAACCGAGCAACGAAGCTTGCCTTTACAGAGTCGTGCACTTGTTTTAATTGGGACGAGCTTTTGATAGGGACAATAGTCGAAGTTTTCTTTAAGGTCGCTTTCTCCAATCTTATGGAATTCTTTAAATTTTATCGTTATCTACATGCAAGTATGCAAATGTATTCAATATACTCTTATGCAGGCAAATTTCACGAACTCGCCCAATACTGGCGAAGTGGAAGTCATGTGAAGGAGTTTCAAAAGGCTCGCGTCAAGTAAGACAAACATATCCCCTTCCAGGCAGTCAAAGAACTATTATTAGAATATAAGGGCATGTTCGGTAGGGATTAAAATCAGATTAAAATTGAAAAAATAGACGTTATTGTTGATTTTTATTAGACGAGTAGGATCCAATAACGGTCATATTTTCAATTTTAATTGAATTTTAATCCCTACCGAACGGGGTCTAAGAGAAATGTTTAACGCATGATTTCGAGGCCAATAACATGACATAAACGTTAACAAAATTAGTTATGAGTAGGCTAATAAAAGGCTACCAATTGTCACCTATCCCAAAATAACGAAATTACTCTAAATCATTGGAGAGAAATCTATAAATACCTCTCACTTGAGAGAAAAAAAGACGTGCAATTCAAATATTTTTCTCTCGAATATCTATCTTCTCTCTTACTCTACGTTTAAGCATCGAAACTAGTGAGCTTAGGAGAAAGAGATTATAATTAAATGGGATGATTTGTTGATTCGATTTTTACCATCAACATTTTCATTTGTACATTGACAATTATAATACAAGTTGAAAGTCGGGAATCGCTCAACCAATTTCTTATTATTATTATTATATTCAGACACAGTCAAACCACAAAGTTACACTAATTCTAACTCAAAAGAGAGGAAGAGAGAGAGAGAGATATCAGGCAGCTTGTTTGTCGGGTCTCATAGGATATTGTTTATAATACATATAAATTAAAGTAAGAAGGCATCAACAAGCGTTTGTAGTCCAACGGTTAGGATAATTGCCTTCCAAGCAATAGACCCGGGTTCGACTCCCGGCAAACGCATCTCTTTTTGGTTCCTTATTTTTTGTGCGGCTGGTGCCCAATTATTGTCAACTCTTCTACTTCTTCACAAATTTAGGATTCCTGAATTCCAATCTGAAAAATGACTTGATGAAATTTGACTGTAAGGAGGAAGACAACGTAGCTTTCAAAACGTACACTCGAGGAAAGGGGTTCTGACCTACAGGAAGCAATTTTGGGAGGGTATCATGAGAGTATTTTCGTCATTGATACATAAATTGGATTATATAATTTCAGTTAACTTTTAGGGGCAAATAAGCCTATATTTTAAAAAAATGGGCCATAGATGCAAAACTAACAAATTTTGGCCATTTTTCAAAATGGGACATGAAAGATGAACATTTGTCCGATTTCCTCTACACGACTTACAATTGAATTACTAAATTATGATTT